AAGTGATGCAAGTCTTGGCTGAAACCCACCAGCACTGGCATGGTGCTGACAAATGAAGAAAGATGTTCAGGGCAAACAAAGATTCATCATTGGCACCAACAGCGGCCACACCATCCTACATCTTTGCCTCAAACAGGAACTAGGTGTAACTGATCCAAGCATCAAAATGGTTCCATATTGATCAGCTTTGAAGTTTTCATCCCTAAAAAAAATAAAGCACATTTTTCTACTGGTATAATTATTTATTGGCTTGAATTACAAATGTCTTTGTAAGTAGTGGTTTTCATACAATTCTTATGCAAGCACAGATGACAGTACAGCTTGGTAGCATGCATAGCTGAGTCCCTGTGGTTCCTGGGAGCAGAAATGGCACGGAATGCCACAGAACGTAGGTCAGTAGAGGTGTGACGATGAATGATTACACTATATTTCGTCCTAAAATGACAGCAACCTAATCCAATCATCATTCTGATCGGCTAAAAGTCACGACTCACCCTGGTTATCCAGTTTGTTATTGGACAAATCTGCTCTAGATGCCTGGCTGTCCAGGAGCATACTACTGATACCTGTTACAATGGGTTATTAATATTCCTTGACATCCAAGCATATCAAGTTGACATTAAATATAGTGTCGTTGAGTAATCAATACTACCTATTGTTAGTAATTCTGAGAACCTCCAAAGACAGGCGCCTCTCACGTCAGTGTGTCATGTGACTGAAATGTTCTCATTATTTTAACTATCATCACACCGCTACTCATAACAGGCATTACCGAGGCCAATAGTTCAATATATACAAACCACCAACATTATTCTACATACACTGTTTATAAACTGTGTAAAATGAAAGTTGATTAACAGAGATCAAGTCATAACAGCATAAGAAAGATGGTCAGGGAGGACTAGTCGTTCAAATGAAACACCCTAGATTGAAACAGATTTTTCTGTTTCAATCTGTTAGAATTGTTCAGGGGCTATGACATAATACGCCCCTGACTAGGGAGGATGATAGACTACTACTGAAATATATGCATTAAACTTCTACATATTGAAATTGGTCAAACGAATAAAGCTACACATTACAAAGTCATCTGTACACCGACAAATGTATAGCATGCAAAGAAGATTTATATTGTTTATAGCAGTTGGAACTGGATTTCCTCACTGGTTCCTGAATCAAGAGTTTTCGATCATGCATGTATCTTGCATGTCATACCTACAGTTCACATACCACATATACTACAAGATTATCTACATATCTACAAAATGTACAACTCACAATAATCTATTGTACATAACAATAATTAGCATCATGACATTGTACTATTTGAGCTACAAGCTCCAGGTGTTCAGGTTTACAAGCCCAACAAGGGAGGTAATTTATCTGATCAACACATGTTGGGACCAGTAGACTGTTGAGCTAAAGAAGGACTAGTCCTGAGCACTTTCAAGGCATATTGGGAAAGCAAATATCAATAAATACTAACAGTTTGTTGGATGCTTATAATTTGACAGTGCTGTTTTGAAAGTATTCATGCTGTCATATTAACAAACAAAATCAAACCTAAATGAAATTCAAATAATAATGAGATATGAAATTCATACATGCAACCAAGTTGGTCATTTGATCTGACCAGGAAGTGATGTGAAGCACAAACACTATTGCTCACAACTAACTCCCCTTCAAGGAAACTATCATCCTTATTCCCATCTGATAGGTAGCAAATTTATTGCTCAACATATGTTGAAAAATTGTGTTAGAATTATATAATTTTTTAAAAAAGATAGGCAATCCACACCAAGTGCTTAATCTCTGACAATTCTCCTTGCGATCATTTGAAGAGCTGTGATTTCCAGAAATCACAACAGCAACACTCAAATTTCTTTTGACTAAAACTGGCAACTGTTCTAGCAAGGGGAGATAATTGTGAATAGTACAATATCATCAAGGGGTGAAATGAGAAATAGAATTTTTGGTGTTGAATATTTTCATCATTTTACAAATCGTATCAATCTGATACAAAAATATCATTTGATTTATGAATGTTTGAGTATAAAAAATAAAGCAGAGTACAACTTCCAAATTACTCATGTTGATGACCACACTTTCTGACCTGTACTGTGTTGTACATACTGGCCCTGCTAATATAGTACCTAATCTTGATTATGATCGTCTAGAGAGAAATCAAGAAAATACCAACACAGAAATACAATACCAAGGACTTACAGTAACCTGAATCTTATTAACATGCAATAAGAGCTGTAAAAAAAACAAAATCGGAAAATATTGACAAATTATTTACAATTTCTGCAAGTTCCCCACTTTTATACCATGTTGTCTCATTATAAACATAAATTATGCTTTGAAAAGTGAAAATAGAATATATTATAAAATTACTGAAGGGTTTGGCACATTTCAGAATTAGCAATGGAAAACATATTGTCAATGACTAGGCAGTGCCCAAACCTTTCAACATGTTGTTTAAAAATATTATTAAAGGGACATATTTCCTCAGCCCTGTTCTGCACAATTAGGCTGGAATGCTTACATCTGCAAAGCCAATACGAATGGGTCTGTTGCAAAGTACAGGAATGGATATCCATCATATGATCTCAACGACATCTCTAGTACTGTGCCAACAGCTCAAGATATTCTCCTTCAACACTGCGAAGCAACCTCAAATGTAACTAAATCTAAATAAAAGAATCTTACAAAAATATTGGCAACTGTAACCATGGTAACTAAATCTTAACAAAAGATTTTCACAAAAATATTGCTAACTCTTAGATACAAGTACCTAGGAATATTATGGTCATAAAATGGCAGAATCAGCATAATTTAATGATGGTTTAAAACATTAACCGCTAACAAGCAATAGGTCAAACAAAACAGCAGAGAGACCTCCATTCAAAACCAAACAAAGATTTCCAAACTGGAACATCAACGTTATCATCCTACAGGAATTGTAGCCACAAGATGTCTGAAGCAACAAGCCTTTAACATACTGAACATACATTTTTAGCACTTAGTACCACAATAGAAAACATGTATCGACGTATCAAGGAATTACAATTGAAGATAAGATGCACAATATGCCTACCCATGCAATGATTTGTATTTTAATTCCGTATCATTTTTTAAAAAGTTTTTGTAATGACGATTGGGTTACATCACACAACAATCTGATGGCCCAATACTACAGTACAAGCAGAAATTAACCTGACAATCAAACACATACTGGTTGATAGCAGCAACCATGGGGAACTCCACGCAGAAACATTGCAAATTCAGGATAGCAGTATGTATCAACATGCGAAGTAGGCATATCGTGACACTCCTCCTTCCATTCTCAGATGGGATCCAATATTATATGCAAATCTTAACATTGTCATAGATCAAAGTCTCTATAAGTATCACTCAGCATATGCTCTTAACCACAGAACTAATACAACCATGCTTAAGTTTATGACATTGGAGTGAAGAAGACGAGGTGTTGTCATGCACACCAACCTGTAAGTCCCATGTGTGATATCTATAAATATAACTCAAACTGTACAATAGTGTAAAAAGGCCATAATAAATTAATTATTAGACTTTCATCCCTTCCAGCATCACCCGCCTTGCATTATGTTAGTGTCACAAACTATCCCCAGACGAAGAAAACCACTGTGTCCCTTCCTTCTCTACTTGATGAAATACACTGAATACATAGTCCTAAACATTCAGGCTTCATGGAATCACAAGTTAATGGACACAGACACTTTGAACAGCTGGTTTAAAAAAAATAAAATATAAAAATAAAATGCCTCCTGCTCACATATTTTAACAAATCAGGATGAAAAACTAATGATTAATTTCTTGTGGCAACTATAATTGCACTGGTATATTGCCATGAGTACAAAATCAAATACTGCAGTATGCTAACATATTTTTTTAAATATCAACAAAATGTCAACAATCAATTTCTTAGGCTTACAAATAAAATTGTTAGCTTGACTCATGCAGGTAAAAATAAGTAAAACTTCAAGAGTTGGAACAAGCTGAGGCAAGCAATGTCGTATCAATGTAGACTGGTTAAGAATACCTTCATAATTGAGTACATCACAGCTGGAGGGTGGGGTCCAAACCTAGAGTTATCTCCCTTAGATAAATTACTCAACTGAGTATTAATTTTCACGACCATTCTTTAATGACACAGCAGTGCCACAGCAACAATTTGTGTCTTGCATGCTACAGACAACTGCACTACACAGTGTGGACACTCACACACACAACAGTTTACATGGTGATGTGAAATTGAATCAAGGGGCATAAGATTTGTAGGGGGAATACAAAAAGATGGAATATGCGATCTTTTCCAATTGCAGGTGTTAGGCCAAAAATAAAATACTGGTATGTGTTTGCCATATCCCACCCCAACCAACCCTACTCATCTTCCCGAGGCAAGTGAGTTACCGTATTCGACGTAATAAGTGCCCCACTCTAATAAGCGTCCATGGCGATATTTGCTAATATATTGGCTAGTGAACAATCCCCATTAGCACCCCTTCGTATAGATCAATGTACACAAGACTTATTTATTTGCGTTTAATACGCACTCGTGTGTTATATGCACCCTTAATTATAGGCAATTAAAATTCTGGAAAAATATATATGTCGTTTATAAATATTTCATGCTGTCAGCACAGACCACGAAATTTGTCTTTCAACTCTGTTTTTTCCATCAAAATAATATTCTAATAAGGGCCTCCTATTTCTAATTTTGAGAGCGCCCTGGGCGCTTATTACGACGAATACAGTAATTGACTGTAAAAGTCCAGTTTCCACTCTTGCCGCACTAGGCTGGAATTTCCAATGGCTGTTACAGGCTATGTCCCTTTTATGTCCCTCCTATTGACCAATCAGATTCCACCTCTCATATCACTTGCATTTGCTTCAAACAAAATGGCGGCACCCAAGGAAGACAATCTGATCGATAATTATGATCTTTATTGTAATAAAACGGGTCTTACTTCGCGAAGTGCATCAAATCATTTAAGCACCTTGATTAAAGACATGAAATGATTTGGAAAATATCGGTAGACTGTACACATGCTTTGCAAATCCTGCAATCGACCAAAATCTACACTGCAGTTTACAATTTCGGTACGCAATTTTGCTGGACTATGCATAGATTTGATAATCCAGCTGAAATATAACTCCATAATTCAAGCCTAGTTCGGCAAGGGTGGAAACTGTACTTTTATAGTCAGTTACCTCCCTTGCCTCGGGAAGATGAGCGCTACTACCCATTTTTAGATAAAATTGGAAACACATATTTCCTGTTGTGGCCTGCATCATCAGTCCCCTTTAATGCTGCAAGTATAGCAAGTAATGACAGATAGTGTTTTGTATAAAACTGACCCTCAATAAAAAGTGAAATCAACAAGACAAGTATTCCTGCACCACATTAACAGTGCTGCAGTCAAGGGCGTATTTTGACAATGTGCTGCAATCGACATGATATTGACGCCCAAGGTGTGCCTGTTCCACTGCAGCAGACTGTCGTGTACAGGAACATGACACTCAGATGTGCTGCCCTGGGACAAGGTGACGAGGATGACAGAGGCTTCCATACAACGCTAGGGGTGTAACGAATATAACAATAGGCTTCAGTAGAGATAGGAGTCATAACCTCATGCCTCTGTTTGCTCTGTTACGACAAACATTACTTTATCAAATTTCACTGACATTTGCCTTCAACTTCCATCATTTCAATTCTTCCACGTTGATTGAAATTTCAGTCATGTATAATACTCCAGTGGATGAGTCAAATGAAATGACAGTGTCAGTGACAGATATTAGTGTGATATGTAGTGTCAGTGCCTTTACCTCCAGGGTAAGAACTTAACACTAGCCCGCCAGCCCGGGGCTAGTACAAATTTCTGCGGGCAAGCAAAAATGTCCACATTTCCCCATTGTTTTAACATTACAAGGGCATTTATATTTACCTGGGCTAGTAAAGCTTTTTAGTTTAGTTCTAACCCTGATATTGTCCTCCTATACCACTACCTGAAAATGTGTCTAGTGAATTTCAAGCCAAGCTTATGATTGTCAATAATTATTAATCTGTTCAAAACGATGATGGAAGACAAGGCTTGTAGAATGAAATGTCCTTTGTACAGCCAGCACTAGATCAAATATCTTTATCAATTGTGTTTCTGTAAAGCTACAAATCTGTAAAAGCAATACCAACATGCTGTATCATGTAAGGTATCAAGGTCTGTTGTGTCGCCATTTATTAAATCATTGTACCACTAAACCCAAATTTAGAAACAGACGCAATCAGAAGGATGACATTATGTTGAGACTGGATAGGCACTATCTCAAATCAGTAGATCGTTACACCCCTCCCCAACACTGGAAGTAGATCGACCACTATGAGGTTAGGGTCAGACATGTTTCATCACAGACTTCTTCAATCCAAGATGTGTGCAACACACACAAGAGGTGTTAATGTCGGAACCCAAACACAAACAACACTTGAAGGAGAGTTGTTAGACACAAGCCATCGTGTTAAAGTTCAAGGTCAGATTACACTCTAACGCAACAGCCATTTTTATTCTTCCCCTCCTTTCTTCTTGGATGGTGGAATAAGATGCTCGGGGAGGTCGGATGGAAGATCATGCCCATCCAATTTGATCTTTATCAAATGATTGGCCAATGCCCACTCGTCAGCATCAAGCATTCCGTCCTTATCAACATCTGCCAACTTCCATACCTTACTCAACACAGAATTAGGCAACTTGGATTTAACCATTTCACTTTTGGCAGCAGCACCAGTAATTTTTCCATTGACTGGGTTCAACCTCTCGAATGCATCATCATATTCATACTTCTCGTGACTGACAACCCATTCATGCTCGCCACGACCCTTGTCAACACCTTCTCCTCGTCCAATCCCGAAAGGACTCTCATTGTAGCCTTCAAAGGCTCCCCCTTTGACGTTACCGATATCTGAGTTCTCCATCATTTCCTCGTGAGGCACCATCTGCATCAGCCGAGAGATGTCATTGGCCAGCATGTGGTCCACTGTTTCCACCAGCTTGGGTTTGAGGGTGTGGAACTTGGTGAAGTCATGGTGTTGGAGTTGATCCTGCATGCGTTTGATGTCTGGGAAATCTCCGGGAGATATCTGGTGCTCTCGCTGTAGGGCGGCAAACGTGTCTCCCAGTTTGCTGATGAGTTCCTTCTTCTTGGAGTCCTTTCCAAACATGGACGGCATCTCTTTCCTTAGCTGACTGATGATCGTAGCATGGACCTGCAACAACAAGGAAAGAATGAACATGTGCTGGCTTACAAAAAGTCCCCAAATAGTCTTTCATCATGTTCATATGATCAGTCTGTGCTAAAAACATTTCATACTACTAGCCTAACAATGTCTTAGGATCATTCTCAGAAGATCTTAGTGTTATCCTATGGAATATTATTAGCTGAGCTTACTAGACCAAACAGAATTTTACTAGACTCAGGCTTGGGACTGGTGGCTAAAGTCGCAGACTGCACAATCCAAAATAAAGCAACATAAGCTCTGTGTGGACTCCAGGATAGAATTGGTCCCAATTACCCATGGACCTGTAGCCTATGGACCTATAGCCGATGCAAGTAAGAAGGATCAGGTTCTCAGGCATGTCAATGTGGCTGTGTGTCATCAATGGGTGATGGGGAATCGTTGTACATGCTTTCAATCACTGGTTTGGAGCAGGCTTGATTATTTACAGGCTGCTGTGAAATAGCTGCAGTCGATGCAAAATTCATTTGGGTCTACTAGCCTAAACTTGTATTGAGGCATGATTTTCATTAGATATTAGTCTTATGGACTAGCATATGCTGATCTTACTAAGACAAAATACTTGGTTTTGGGTTGGGTTTTTTGTTGTTTAACGCTGCACTCAGCAATATTCCAGCTATATGACGGCGGTCTGTAAATAATCGAGTCGATCGATGACATGCATCAACCAATTCAGCGAGCCTGACCACCCGACCCCGTTAGTCGCCTCTTACGACAAGCATAGTCGCTTGTTAAGGCAAGCATGGGTTGCTGAACATCTATTCTACTCCAGATCTTGACAGGTCAACTTGACTGGAGCTTCACACCAGGGGGTTAAGCCAGAGGCTGCTGCTTGAATATTGCTGACTATAGTATAAAGTAATATTCACTCACTCAGAGCAACATGACCAAGTTTTCTGAAAGTGTCAATGACTTGTAACTAGGAAGATATAATTATGTTCAATGGATATCTGTTGATATTTGAAATGGTATATGAGTGAATGTAGGACCAAATAGTATCTGATCTGAAGAACTTCATCACAGCTGGATGGGTTAGACTAACATCTAGTCTCTGAAATGAACATATCGTACAGAAAAAAACAGTTGTTCAGTTATCTTCATAAAAATATAATAAAAGGGAGCCCAGTGACTCTCTTCATTTTCAGATCCTGATACTCCAGTAATCTAGACTTGCCAAACATTATAGACTTGCATGGGCTGTATTTCATATATATTTGTATCAGGGTCTGTAAGACAGACTACTTGATGGGTCTAAACTTAGAGTTTTCTCCCTTAGATCATAAATTACTCAACAACGTAATGGGAGGTTAAGGATTTCTATCAACTTGTCCAGTACAATGATATATGGCCTAGTCACTGAACCCACTTAGTGAAGGCTGGTGTGAGTAGGTTGGACAATCCTAACTTCATATAACATGACATTACAGTCTGTGTAGTCTATCAACATGGCAAATCCATCATTATGAAATACTTCCTGCAGGATATGATTATTAAATACTTGGTGTGGCAGAGTTTCCTTCCACTATATCTGAGGCTCATCATTTTGAAATCTTAGAAAACCACTTGTTTCCAGAATAGCGAAAACTGTACTTAACTTGGGGTTCAGGAATTGAAATGGTATTATCAATCACAAAGAAAAGGAAGAGGCAAAAGTGTGAATTACAACATGTAACTCATGGTGAAATGACATCCACGGAGTTCAATGACGGATCAAAAGTATTCTTCTTGTAGGCACACTTAAATTCCAAGGGGGCCAGAGGGTACACCTATAAACAGCTTTGTGGAGGCTCAGTGGTGTACTATAAGAAACAATATTAATCATTTCTATCCATGTCTTGTTTCTGAAATTTCATGTACATATTTGCACCCTGAACAAACTTATAAGATGAAACGTCAATGACATTCAAACTTGAGCAATAATATGTTCAAAACAAGTTGATTGAAACCCTGTTGTTATTTTAGTTGTTGTTGGTATATTAGATGGTGTTATTATACAAATAATTACTCTTGAAGAGGTCAGTATACAAAAACACGGAACCAAGGACCTGACCCCTGAGGTGGTCTGACCGGACCAAGGCTGCAGGCCGAGGTATGGTCAGACCGCCAAAGGTGATGGATATGTTGGTCTAGTTGATCAGAGGGCACGAATTGGAGCAGGGTGTTTTATACAGCGAATATGGTATATGTCACTTTCAACCTCAGTACGATTATAAAGATGAATTGTAGATTGTCTAGCTGGTCAGGGGGCACTTATTGGAGTGGGGTGTTTTATACAGCAACTACGGTATATGTCACAATGCTGGTCATGAGATGACGGCCCACATGAAGCTGCATATCTGCTGCTGTACATCAAGTGTCTCGTATCAGGTCAGAAACTGTCGTGTTGATCATTCAGATATAACGCATACTGATCCCATCACAGCCTGCATACTGATCACACATCACAGCCCCTGCTTGTTGTCATCAGACACTTCATGACTCACTTCAACAGGAAGCAACAAATTATGTTTCTCATTCCAGTACCGAATCGATATTACATAAAACATTTACAACAGATTTTAGAATGTATCACTGTTGTGTTATGTTGCAGTCAGCAATATTATCGCTTTGTTGCAGTGGACTATAAACACGACAACATGGGACTATCTGGAAGCACACTTTCATTAAAACAATTAGTTTGTTTCAACAGTTGATAATTGGAAGCCTTTATGAGAGAGTTTACCTGATGAACCATTTGCTCATCCCACTGAACTCTATGTAACAGCCTGTACTGTATTCACAGTATTAAGCACACTGTAGCATCCCTGACGAACTTCTAGACCAATCTGTCAGTTACCTTAATAATCTCTTACTAAAACTGAAACTTTACGTGACAGTCCCTACTTTCAGTATGTTACAGATTTTTTACACCTCCAGCACAGAAGGGGTAAATAATTGCCTTGTAACTACAGCGTTAGAAATTGCCACCGGTCCCTTAGTCCTTGCCAAACTGCCCAATAGTTAAGTCATCATAAGGACTAGTAGAAATGTATCCTTTTTAAAGGTTTTGCTTTATGTTGTTACCATAAGCACCAGTGAACTAAAACTGTTAGTTTCTACTGCTGAACTATTATCAAAAGTTTTACTTTCCTCAACGTTTGAACCAGGGGTCCGGAAACCGTCATATGCGCCGGACATGTCCGATTGGGAATCTCAAATGTCCGTTTTAAAATATTGCTTACCGGACATTTTAAAAAGTATTGTCCGGACATTCTTAAATTTTGACCGGACATGATCAACAGTTAGGACTGAGCAGTTTCTGTCTGCAGTTGCAACACAATGAAGATTAACTACACTGACAAGCTTTGTTTGTTTTGATTGCTGTAAATACATCGTACCTACATGATAGTCCAATCAGTCAATCACTGTAATAGACAATAAACTGAGTTGACACTGATTAATCGAGGATTAATTACTGAGAACATCTTGTTAATTTAAGTGAAAGGTGTTTACAACTGTACATTAATACCTTGCATCATCGATGTACCTCATTATCCTCACAATGCTACGATACGTAACCTCAGACAAGAAGCGAAAGCGTGACAACAGCCAGTCGACCGATGCAGATCAGTCGAGCGGATCTGCCAAACCCTCAAAGTCTGGACGATCATTTTGTAAGTCGTGGCTAACGACTTTCACTTGGTTGACATACAATGAGGATTTGCAGATTTTATTGTTTTCAGTAGCTAGTCGTATATTGAATCTTGATTGACCGCCATTTTGCTTTCTCGGACGATCGATATCCAATTTTTTTTATGGTCAATAAATAAGTACAGATGAAAAAAGTATTCAAATAACTATTGCTATCAACGATATTTTAGTATTTGTGATTAAATTATGTCTTGTTTTTAAAAAATCTTTAGTTTAAAAAAAAAAATTCCCGTGAGGTCACGTGATAACCAAATATGGGATAATAGTCTCGATCCAAATGTTACAACGCGTACACTTGAGCAGACTCATGAATATAACTCATGAATATTACTTAGACCGTTCACTACGTTAACAGATCGTTATTATAACAGAAACAAACGTATGTTTTCCATGTAAATCTAAAATGATATTATTTGTTATTAATTGTCCGTTGAATTAAACAATTTAAATTGAAACAATTCATAATTCATCATATTATGAATACGTAAACTTGTAATGTGTGTGAAAAGTCGTACTAAAATACGCTATTTGAAGGGGGCGTGGCCTAAATGCAAATGTCCGATTGGGATTTTAAATTTTCCGGACCCCTGGTTTGAACCATCTTCCTGAGGCAAGGGCTGACTATAAAAGTCCAGTTCCCACCCTTGCCAAACTAGGTTGGAATTCCGGAGTTACATTTTGGCCGGACTAACCAGTCTGTGCATAGTCCTATCAAAATCGTGTACCGAACATGGAGTACAATGTGCAGATTTCGGTCAACTGATTTGAAAAGAATGTGTTTGCCAACTGGGCGTCAGATATTTTGCAAGTCTTTTCATGTTTTTTAATCAAGGTGCTCAACTGATTTGATGAACTTCGCTGGGTAAGGCAAGTTTTTTTATAACACAGATCTTGATTATCGATCAGATCGTTTTGACAGGGCACCGCCATTTTGTTTGAAGGAAATGCAAGTGATATGAGAGATTGAATCTGATTGGTCAATCAATAGGAGAGACATAGAAGGGACATAACTCGTAATAGCCACTGGTGGTGCTACGATCAAGCCTGGAAATTCCAGTCTAGTTCGGCAAGAGTGGGAACGGGACTTTTATTATCAGTTAACTCCCATTGCCTTGGGAAGATGTGAGGTGAGGTGAGGTGAGGTGAGGTTAGGTGAGGTGAGGTGAGGTGAGGTGAGGTGAAATTGGGTTTAACGTCGCGTCCAAGATTATTGCACTTATAAAGCGACGTACATGCACGTGTGTGTGTGGCTGCTTGTACTAGACCGGACTGATGCCAAT